TTTTTTTTTATAGCCAGCCGGCCTTTTATCTTCTTCTTCTTCTTATTATTATTATTATTATTATTGTTGCGAGAATTCGATTACGAAATCACGAACGACATGAACCGCCGGGCTAATATATAAATGCCGCGAATTCAGATTCACATTATTAACGATGAGAACGCGCACATTACATTGATCTGCGAACTGCGCCGGTCGCTAATTAGTTAACGGACGCTAAATTTTCTTTACGATTTACTTATTATTTATTTCTAGAGTGCCCATATCCAGGGGCGCCGTTATTAGGGGGAGGCGATGGGGGTGATCACCCCTCCTTTCCCTGAGAGAAGGGGACTAACATTGACATTTGGCATAATCGTTGGTCCAGAAGTAGGTACAATAATTAATATAAAATTATTTGACATCACTTTAATTCTTATCAATGAACATAATTTATTGTTATCATAGTAAACATATATTCGCGGCACAATTATTGATATAACCGCAACCTTAATTTGTGATTATAATTCAAAAAGCGGATTGTGCTTAGATATATATATTACATAGAATGCGTCGGTTGCATAAAGTAATATTACGCTACGGTCGGTTGACCGTAGTATTTAAAATACATTTTGATATCATTGTATCAGTAACAGCAAAATCGGTTGATAAGTAAATACTATTTACGTTTGTAAAGTTCAAATATTTTACAGTTCATATTGGTTTAGTTTAGTTTTTAATTAATTTGATAAGTTTTCTGTTGGAATAAAGTTCGTCTCTGTCACGAATAATGAACGAGAAAAAAAGGAAACACAACGGTTCCAGAGAAACGATTACATAGACATTTTGTGTTATAGGAATATAAAATAAAAGATAAATAAATGTTTATACTATAATATATACTATGATGATTTGTTTTTAATGATGTAACGTTTATGTGATCAAAACACATATGTTTTGAAGGAAGGGTTTCTAAATTCTAAAAGATAAAAAAAATTGGTTGAATCTTCCGTATTTGAATATTGCGTACATTAATATATTTTTAATTATTTCACCCCTTCCCATACCCAAGGTCTAGAGACGCCCTTGCCTATATATATGGAAATACCGATAGCTTAAAGTTATAAAAAACGGTGCATATTTCTTTGCGGAGTTCAAAATTCATGTAACCGAAAATTATAAATCGTACCACGACTATAAAGACTATATATTTATAACAATATTTCCAGTGCTCAAAATCAAAAAAAAAAAAAAAAAAAAAAAAAAAACGACAATATTTAATGGTCGTATTGTAAATTAGCTGACCATAGTGTTGACAGTTTTTATCTTGTTTTTGAACAAATAACTAACGATTTTTTATGACTTGTAAGTAGTATATCAGTATTTCGGGACCAATAAAGGGGGAGGGGAGAGTCAGGAGGGAAAATTCCCACATGGGACTTCTCGCCTAGAAAAAAAAAAAAACGTAATACGAAAAATGACAAAAAAAAGACGTAATACAAATGATTACACGTTTAAAAATATATTCAACCTACATACCTTACATTCAATAATTAGATCGATTTTTTATTAACGCGGGTCACGGATATTTATTACAAATCATCAATGTTTTTTTTTTTTTTTTTTTTATCAATATAATCTATTATCCAAATACATATTACGTACTTTTTTTAATAACCTATACCTATACATAATTTATTATAAATATATTATTTTATATCAAGTGTCAAAGTTCAAGCAATAATAATATTCCGGTATATCGACCTATAGTATAAAATATATATAACATACATATGATTCAAATTAATTCAAAGAACTAGTATTATAGAATCTAGGTATACAGTGTTATATAATTGAAACCGAGTTATCCGCATAATATCGTGTCAAAAATTCTAAATCGTTCGAGACGTGATGAAAATTGAAAATTTGAAAATACGATACGAAGAAACATTGGGAAATATAAGAGACACTATACACGGTGTACCTGTACGATTTGATAATATTCAATAATGTAATTGTGTATTGCATATTATTTTAGGAATATTTCATCTAACATTCAATATTTGAAATTTTCCCCTTAATTCATGTTTACTTTGAGTACAAGCCTTTTAGTATAGGTTAGATGAGTCAATCCCCGAAACATAGTAGAAAAAACAAAAAAAATGTATAATTACTGCGTAGCGCAAGAAAAATTTATTTTTTCTTTATACTTAGCTTAAAATGCTACATGCGAAATGTATTTGAAATAAACGCTATAAACTTGCGTTTAACTGGATTAGGTTAGGTGAATTTATATTCCCCGAAGCATATAATGAAATAAGTAAAAGAAATTAAAATAAAATAAATAAAAATAGAAGTTTTTTAATGTGTATCTGGTGAACAAAATAGGTGTATCCGTAGATGAGACAATAAATAAAAGAACAATATTTAACACTAGTTTAATTTTTATAAAAGACTATGCAATTATTTTTAATGATTATTTTGTTTGTAATATATATATTATATTTTTAAGTGTGTATTTTAATAGCATTTTGCTATCAACAAAACATTAGTTTTATAATTATAGCATTGTTGTAATAATAACTGATTTTGATAACGATTCCAGGAACATAATATAATACATAGTTATCATTAATAAATAGCCATTAGAAGGATATTTAATAGTTGTTGATTAATAATACATTTCAAGAATTTATGTTACCGATTCATCCATATCGATTTCGCCAATTCATATTTAATCTTAAAATCACTCACTCAACGTCAAGTTATTCTTAAATAAAAATAAGGTTGTAATTGTGTTACACAATAGATCTTTAAGGGTACTTAGGTAAGGAAAACATAAAGTCATTTTCGGTTTTTTGTTCTAAATTTAAAACATTTAAATTTTAGGTGTAATTGGTGCAAAAACAGTTGACCTCTGTCCTTTTATAGTGTTTAGGTACGTTACTTTGCGTTCAAATTTTAATTAAATTATTACCTGTCTAACCTACTATGCCATACTTAGTAATGATTTGAGACAATTTACTTTGATCGAAAATCAAAAAGTACATGTAAATATTTGGTAACATGTTCGTTAATAATATATGCCTAAATAAATTAAAATGACGCAAATTGTATTATTGTAAGTACTCTGTATACAGGATATTATTAGTGCCGGTTTGTTAAGTACGTGATAACTTATATCGATTGCGCTGAAAATATTCATCGGTAATATTACCCATTAAACAAGGGTTTAACTGAATTTTTGAACTCCGTTGAAGTTTTCTTGTGTCGTTTTGGGTCTTACAGTTGGCTTACTGCGGAGGGAATTTATTCATTTTTACGGAATATCCATGACGGAGAAAAAACTAAAAAAAAAACAGTCTGTCTGAAAACAGAGAACATAAAGGTTTTTGTAAAAATAGATGTTGATTGTTTTTCGTAATTCACGGTAAGAATACTATACTATGGTAGAAATTTGAAATGTTCAACATTTAAATATGTTTACACTTTCTAGCCATGGAATAATTTTTAAAATATTTCGGCTCTTTTCGAATTATTTATGATTATTTGAAATTTTCGATGTTTGGTTTATGTGGAAAATTATTGATTGGTTAAAATCATCGAAATTCGATACGATTTGCTAGTCAAACGAAATTTTATATTTAATTTAATCTGCGTATATGATGATTTTATGACATTATTCCGACCTATATGCAAAAAATTGTCGGCATGTATTCAGTTTTATGATTATTTATAGTTAGGATTAGCATGGTTCAACAAAGAAAATAGTATGTATTATTTTTTTCTGATTTCGCTATTGTTAAAAAAAAAAAAAGAAAACCCCCAGAGAGAATTAATGTTATTAAAATATACACTGCGACCGGGGATCAATAGATTGCGGATGATAATACGTAATGGTGATCGTTGCACTAGGGGATTATCGTTAAACCCATGGAATCGATAAACCCCATAAAATGAAGTAAGTATTGAAAAGCAGTATTTTCTGTACCATATAGGTATATTAAGTACTTCATGTTTTTTTCCAACCTATTCGAAATCTACTGGAGAAAACCGACTCGTTTCCATATAAAAACAATATTTCGTCCTAGGTACATCAATATTATTTTTATCCATATTATTGTTGTATGTTAAGTTAATATTAATAAAAAATATGTAAAGTTTTACGTAAAAATATTTAATTTGTTTATATACAGGTTTTTTCTATAATCCAGTTATTTTCTCAACAAATTTTTAATAACTTTAATTTTTGTTTTTTCAATCATCATTAAATTTCGTAATCTTTATTTTAAATATTTATCCTTACTCCTTTTAACTTAATGAATATTAAATTTTGATTTTTTTAAAGGAAACTTAGAGGTACTACTTGGACCATGTGTATAGTATTTTGAATATTTAATAGTATGTTTATGAATTATTTTTATTCTGTTTATATAGCCTCTCTAGATAACTGAGAATTATATTTATTTATATGTTGTATCTATTAATACAAATATTGATTATCATGCCCATAGACATAATATAACTAGGTTAGAAATGATAACAAAATAACGAGGCCATGATAATAAACTAGCATTACTTGAGATTTGACCAATGACTTTATTATATACATATATGACACATGTTTACATTTATATTGTTTATACATATATAACATAGAACGGAGCAGTTATTCCTTGTCTAGTTATAGTAATATGTCTACAATCTTTTCTTAAACTAATAGTGATATATGGGTACCTATGAGATATGTTATTTGTATTTTTCGTCAAACAGTGTAGCTAGTAGATAACTATCATTCCAGTAATAACATATTATTTCTTGCTGTGAAAAGGAGGGGAGAGATGAGTCATAATATTATTTTATATCATTTAGTTATTTCATTTTTTCTTAAATTGCATTACTACTGAGTTCCTCTTATTTTAAGAGTACGTGTTTAAACCGAGAATATAATATAATATTATTATTGATACCTCAAAATGTTTATGTATAGGCCGGTTTACTCCAATAATATACCGTAATATAGATAACTGTGGCGTCAGCTATAGATGAACGTACTTAGATAAGGACGAAACTTGGCACACAAGTGTATAATAACGCGTGACATTGTGGGGTTGAGTATATGATATATGTAATGTACTCTTGCAAGAGTGTTTGTTTTTTCTTTCGTTTCTTGTTTTTAGCTCGTATAGACACCTATAATACAGATAATAAAACGCGCAGTAAATATTCGTTCAAACGATTTGTTTCACGGGGGGAGTAAGACAAATCCTAATACATATTATAATATTAATATTAAAATTGACCTTATTGTTTAAAACACTAATTTTAAAGTGGGCTTTGAGAGACGCCAGTATTATCTGAAATGACAACATCTAGAAAAGCAGAGCCTGGAAGAATTTGAATTTCTTAAGTTTCATAGACAAAATCTAGAATAACAAAATATTTTACCAGACTCTTTTTTTCGTCGTTCCAGATTTTATCTTTTTAGATTTTGTAGGTTACGTTTTTGCTCTAGATTTTGCGGCTCCGTGCGATGCCGTTCCACATAATGCTACGCGTTTGATAATTTTCAATTGTATTAAAAAACTTAGTCACTCCTCCAATCTTTAGTTATATAATTTGTATTTGATAATCATTTTTCTATATTGAAAAATAATTTGTTGTAAATGGGAAATAATTTTTAATTTTGTTCCCCCTCCTAAAAAGTAGATACAGAAGTTTAGTTTCTGATAAAACCTTGTAAATTTGTATTATCTATGTACATCACATGAATGCTATAAACTATCCAAAATTAAAAAAAATTTATTTCATACTGAACCATCCAATATTATGGACATTAATTCATAATATATCCAATGTGACTCACGTAAAACGTAAAACACTTATTATTTTACTAAGTATTGATTTTTTTCAAACATTTTTTCAATAATTTAAAAAATAATCATCCCTGAAATGTTACGTAAAACTATTATTTGTTTTACCCTTAATTTTGAGGGTGAAACTTTTACCTATTTTTAATTTAAAAAAAACTATCTATAATAAATATGTCATAAATGGTTTAAATAAGTGTTAGCGTTGACATTTTTGATTTCCATCTATCCTTTAGCGAGATATTTCACTGTTAAGTTTAGCTAGGGATAGACTAGTGTAATAATATTCAAACGCCGCGTGCCGTAGCACTACACAAATTATGATCCCACTACTCTCCCCCTAGGTAGCTAAACCTCAAAGTGAAATATCTCGAATTTTATTATAGGATGCCATTTGAAAATTAAATGTAATTATAGTCGTTTTACCCCCAAAAATAAGGATGATAAAAAATAATGGTAAAATAAAATTTTTGCACTACTTGTTTCTTTAATTTTCAAGAAAATTTGTTGTGAAAAAGCCAAATACTTTGTGAAAAAATGAGTGTGTTATACTTTAAATGAATCACTTTGTACAGACAAATCGTATGGACATTAATTATTTGTCAGAAGGCGTGTAATATATTAATTTGACTTGTTCTGCCCAGCTAACAAAACAACACCTAATTAAAACTGTCGACAAACAGCTATGGTAACTAATTCGATCAACTTGTGTAGACATCATGCATATAAAACCGCGCGTCTTGATACGACGGTATAACGTAGTGAAATATTACTGGTTTCACTCGACAACATAATACGCAGGTATAATGGGTTCTAAAATCTCATCTCTACTGCGACTTATACTATCACAATAATTTCGTCAACTACGATAATTATTATTCTCTAACCAAAAACACACACGTCCGTGAAATATGTTGTAGACAAGATAAGGCCGTTTAAAAACTCTGCAATTAATGTAACGTCAAATAAACGCGTTTAAGGCGGTTAACAACGATTCGTTATTCCATACATTTAGACCCGAAAGCCGGAGTGAAATAGACATTTAACGCAATAAAAAAAATCGAACAAATAGAATATAGAAAATAATTAAAATATGTTTTAAAAATCGAAATTAGGCGAGCGGTAATGGGTGAACTGCATTCCAGCTTATTGATTAAAAACGTCGTATCTGTCTGTAAAAATCACGACCGTCTTAAATGGGTGGCGGATAGTAGATAAGCGGAAAAATGCTACATTTAGACATTTAGGAGATCATTAAAAGGTAAAACGTAATTTTCAAATTTTCAATTGATTTTAGATTCTGAGCGAAAATCATAAATATTACGGCATTTCAAGACATGTATAACCGAACACAAATTAGGATCATTTTTGATTAGCAATAATTAATAGTTTATATAAGATATACATTCGATTTCTCAATTCCAAATATTTTTAAGATTGAAAAAATGCATGTAAACGATATAAGTTTATCTGTGTACTGTAGATTATCAGGTGCTGACAAATTTACTTGTAGTGTAGACAATAATTCAGATAAAAAAAAATCAGTTCTTACTACCTAATGTACATAACTATTTGTTTTAATTGTTTAAGCACTTAAAAATGTATGGGCACCATCGCTAAAATTTAGGTTTCCTTTTATCATTTACGTATGGGTTTTTTTAATAAGGTTCTCATTTGAGTTCCAAAAGTTAACACCCAAACCCTCCCCACCTCAAAAAAAAAAATCAGTAAAATAAAAATAATCTAGAAATTATTCCCTATTTTGAATATTTTACTGGAGAAAATTGCTGTAACATAAAATTTTGATCACTCGGTATGTATAATGATGTATATATATATACATATATATATAAATATATATACATATATACATCATTTTATATATATTAACATTGTAATTTATACATACCCTAAAATATCAATGTATATACCTATAAATACATTTTGTAAATTTGACTATTTAAGTATCAACAATACAAAATACATTTCTTCCCCCTCCATAGGAAAAGCTGAGCATGCCACTGAGATGTATCGTATGTTATCCATGTATATTTTATTTTGGAGTTGAAATGATTTGTTCGGCTAATTTCTCCTCCGCAGACACGCGAGCGCTAGTGCATGTCGTTTGTCATCCGGGTCGTTTTTCCAAAGTGACGGACTTCAGTGGTATACCTGACGTCTTATTCTCCTCCTCCCCACCAACATGGTGGTGAACAGGTGAACCCATTATATCCGGATTTAATAATATTATATTTACGTCGCCGTCCGAAATTATCCCGTTAACTCGTCATGAATACAATTATTTTTCCGAATCTAAATTATACGAAAATAAAGGTTTTCGTTGTAAAGAAGGTTTTTTTTCCCAGGCCTTTGTTTCGTTTTTACTCGCAGTACTAATACAAAATAAAATTAGTTTTTTTTTTTTTGAAAGACATTCATTTTTTTCGACTTTTCCGAGTGTAGGCAATATTGTTAATGAAACAAATACTACGTTTTTTTTTTTTTTTTTAAAAAAATCTCATATTCGTTATAATATTAGTATGCGTTTCGTCCTATTTAGTTACGAAAATAAACCGATAAAATCCGTTTAGTGTACAGGCACTATACAGTATAGAGTAGTAAGTAAATGGATTTCGACCGTTTCCTTTTTTTTTTTTTTTATTTGAAAGAAAAACTCATGTGTACAACAGACTACTATTCTATTTGTTCGGTGGTTGTAAGGGATATACTGTATGATTGTCACGTCCGTTCGAGTTCAATGGGCCTTCCCCAGCCCCTTCCCCTCCTCCGATAAATGATAGTTAAATGACTTTAAGAAGTGAACACGATTATATTTTGACATCTAATCCGCGAGCAGTGAAATTCGTTTTTAGATTCGAATATAGGTACTTACGAGTATATTATTTAGCGCACGTATATAAAATTACTTGTTTTCAATTTCATCAGTCCGATACTGTTATAATAATCGTAATTCATTACTATCACATTCGTATTATACACGTATCGGATACAAATTATCTTTTTATATAGCCCTTTTCCCGATGTCGATACACAGTTAGCGTCATACGACGATATTCAAAGCCTATTATGTACCTAAAATAACAGTGTAACATATTTAATTAAAACGATCAAATTGTACGTCATTTAACAGTAGCTTGATTTTGTAGAAATAGCCGATAAGTACCTTATCTTAATCATCTCTCGTCTCTTTTTTCTTCAAACAATCGTTTAATATTGGTCACCACATTTCTCCACGCTTCTCCCTTTTTCGGAACTAACCAACTCCTTTTAATCTTTGTAAATTTACATAGGATGTCACACAAAATCCAATTGTGAAAAAAAAAAACAAAAATAGGTGATATTAACATAGATATTAAAATCGTGAAAACACGTTATGGCAATTTGTAAATAATAATATAATATAATATATCCCTATCTGTGATAACTATGTATCATAATATTTGTTTCGAGAACAACTTCTTCGTCGGTCTGTCACTTCTTATGTGGCATTTTATATGTCCCCTATGACACTTTTCGTCAGGTTATCGTATAAATACTTTATATCGGTTTGTCCCTTTGGCATACTTTAACACTTTTTCAAACATTTATCGTTTTTCCATTACTCTGTTCAGTATACTTCCATTAAACACGTAGCAAGGATTTCATTTAGGGGAAGTCCATTTTCAAAAAAAAAAATATTTATTATTGTTATTAGGTAGGTATATTAGTTATGATTTTAATAAATGTATATCACCGAAATATAACGATGACGTATACTATTATAAATATTTAAGAAAAATGAGGTAATATGGGGATACACCATCTTTCGTTTGGCCGCCCCTGAATTCGCTCTTCGTCATCATCATCAATATTGGAAATAAAATTATTTTAACCGGTTTCATTTAGTGCAAGCCGTTCACCGAGGGGAAAAACACGAATAAAATATGTTGTACCAATAATGATAGAGCTTAAAGATTGAACCCCTTTTTATTTGGTTTTAGTAATTTTATAAATGTATTTTCCCCCTTCATACATATCAATATATTACATACACCGTTCGAATGTATTTTTCTAAAAATCGATCAAACTCGAAAAGGATTTTGTGTTTTTTGACGTATAACGGCTATACTATACTACCATATTATTGTACAAACCCATTGCGTAAGAGATATTTTACCAGTAGGGCTATACCGTATAGTGGTAAAATTATGTGTTTTCATGGCTTGACTTCTTTGATTATAAAACAAAACGACCTCTCGAGTTTAAAACAATATATTTAGTTTTTTTTATCAAGTCATATTTTGGACATAAGCACTGTATTTATATCATTCAATACCTATGTCTATATATTACCGTACAGACCATCATTGGCCTAATTGCAA